AACCGTTTTGTTTTGATGTATTTGTTTATATTGGTTTATTGTTACTTTATGGAAAGACAAATTGGAAATAAATCATAATATATAATCAATATATTTCGTTCTAATTCATAGAAAACAGTGTATGTTTATATGTATATCATTTTTTTCTCCATGTCCACAGAATATATAGCTAACGTAGCTCACCGAGTATCAAAATTTCCCTCATAGCAATGCATATTATAATTACGTATGTCTGTTCTCATTAGCCCAGGGGAACCGCTGTACGATCCCGGAGTTGACCAAGAAATTTCATCAAGACGAGAATAGTCGTTCGGATGGGACGTGAAGTAAAAGACCCCGAGACAGTTGGAATACGATATAAGAGTAAGCCTCAGGGCCGGCGGAAGCATTTCTTGATTGTGGGGCCTACCGTCGTAGGACTTTAGGCGAGGGTCCAGGGGCCGTCCAGGGTCGGGGGTCTAAATTGGAGACGCTTTCTAAGCGATTTCTGACTTGTAAAATTACTCAGCAATGAAGTTTTTTGGGGTTTTTTTTAATCCCTTACCACGAAAGCACCGCATTCGATGGTGATTTCCTGTGATGTTGAACTGGACAAATATATACATAATATTACCAAGGTTGTGGACACTCTAGATGTCACAGTTTTTATCCGATTTTGATGAAACTTACAATGAATGTTTATAACTTCTTAGATTATGGCCCCTTACTGTACGACAACTCACATTTTTAGCTTGTGGGCACCCTAGAGGTCACAATTTTTATTGATTGTAAAAACCGTTCAAATATATCACAGTTACACCATTACGACTGAGTACAGTCTGAACCAGCAGCCGAACGCAAATGGCCATCCGATTTCGATGAAGCTTAAAACGAGTGTTGGTTGAATTCAAGTTTGGTGCGCATCGGACCAAATGCCTTTTATTTACGCAAAATGTGAAATTTGAATGAAGCTTGTGGACCTGCCAGAGGCGACAATTTTTGTCCGATTCATGAGATGCAAATTAAACTATGTGTTAAGGATCAAAAGTTCTTGGATGAGTTTCAGTTTGATACGCATGAGACCTTCCACTGTAGAGCTTTTGCCCCTGCAATAGAATGTTAGAAAAACTCTATCCCGTCGTGTTTTAATTAGCCACAACGGAAATGAGATGGAATGAAATATTCGACTGCTCAGTAAAGTTAACTAATCGCAGCCATCACAACTGGGGGCTCTTAAACCAGGGATCAGTATAGAGCATAGCAAGGTATTTTCTTCTGAAAGTCTACGTTTTACTTCTAGAAGTCTCACTTCTATGTTAAAATCAGGTCTCTTTCAGTTACGTCACTGTATCTAACTGAATAGTTATTGGCGTGCAATAGCCTGGGGAAAAGGGCACTTGCGGTCAAATTATTGGGGATAGCGCCCCCCCCCTCTCAGTCCCCTACTCCGCCGGGCCCCCAGTGCCGGTTAAAATTTCACTCATAGCACACTGTATGGTGTATGCTCTTCTTCATTAGCCCAGTCTGAGCAGAACAATAGGACATTAAATAGTATTTCTTTAAGCAGTACGTTTATAAACCTCATTGGATTTCATTAGCCCGGTTGGTGCAGAAAATAAGGACGTTAAACCCCATTCCATTTCTCTTCGTTGACATTTTTACCAAATTGTCACTTTAAATCTTTGGCATTGTTCTTATACTAAGACCCCCACTAGTCACGACACAAAATTACTACAATAGAATACCAGTTTTAATGGTCATGCGCAACAAACCATTAATTGTTAATAAAAGAGAGAATAGTCCGATTGACCTATTAACACATAGATACATAAAGAGAACAAGGTTTATGTTTATTATTTTTATTCATAACCTAGACATCTGAACACAACCAGAACAAAACCCTATACAATACCAAACATTACTACTGAATGAAACACTATACTGAGTAATTGAACGTTAACACAAATCTGGTCTTTTCACGGCTACAAAGGATCAATGGTTTATATCATAATAGGGGTTTGGAGTGCCAAAAGGTTAGACTAACTCGTCTTAAAACAGACATTGTTAGGACCAAATGAAACCGACAAAGGAAGCTATTAAAACGAAATGAAATAGGGTTTAACGTCCCACTTTTTTGCTCCAACGGGCTAATAAAGCCGGTCTACGCCATACGGTGTGCTACGAGGGAAATTTTGACCAGACAGCGGCGCTAAAATCTACTCTTATTTCGAATTCCAACTGCAAAGGTTTTCTTTACGTGGACGCTGTTACTTGCAAGGACTTATTTCATGCACCAATTAGAGTGAAAGTTTAGCGTACATGATAGTTGTTACGGTCAGCCCCGTTAAAAATATAATTGCTCCCTAACTGCCGAAGATCAGATTCTAAGAGTGATCTGGTCGCACATAACATACCGAGAACACTTGATCTTCAAATAGGTATCCGCGCAAACCGGAAACACTGACGTTAACCCTGGTCAAAAAGGGAACTAATTCGCTACAGAAACAGTGCTCCTCCTTTCAGACGATGGTTGACACGAACAATTTTTCAAATTTTCAAATGAGGGTATTTCGTGCACTAGAAATACCAATCATGAAATGACCCGGTGTCGCAAAATAGCCACTTCCCTTTTAGCACTATAGTACATTATCGTATTCAATATAAATTGATTACAGCATGTTTTCATTCAAGCATTTTGAAAGACTTGTGCACCCTGCTTAAAGCACGATGGCTCACAGGACTAAAAGTCTTGTATTAAATATTTTTGAACGACTCCGAGCTATTTTATGTTAATTCATAATAAATCAGTTTCAGTACCGATGCAATATTAAGGAGACTTTTGAACTTGTGTAGTATTCTATAACTCTGCATACATGTACACATTGCTGGTATAGCCCTTTATGTCTTGTGTCCAAGAAAAGAGGAGAGAGAGAGAGAGAGAGAGAGAGGTGATAAAGTCCACACAAACTGGAGCATTTTGTACAAGCGACCCTACTCCTTGTCATATACAAGCGTGGTATCGAAACCACGGCACCTGACTCAATGAACACGGTAATAGACAAAATCGTTGATATATTCTAGTATTGATATAAATGTTAGTTGACCTATGACCTCTGTTAGTTAACCTATGGCCCCGAGAGAGATAGAGAGTGAGAGAGAGAGACCATTCGACACAACCGGGGAAAACCTAACAGGATGGACAGGCGACTTAACTCCTTGTCACGTACAAGCGGAAATCGGAAACCACGCCACTTGAATCAATGATACACCTTATGATGCAACCCCCAATGTGTCCCAGAATAAAGACAGATTACACGTCATGTAGAAGATAGCTAATATCGTAATGCAGCGAAGTGGGGTTAATTTACAAGTTTATATTTTTAAATTCAATTTACAAATGGTAATATGTTAAGATATTATGCTTGTATTTACCTATGTGATATAATATAATCACATTGTTTTCAATGAAAGATAAACACGTACATTTATTAGCTATTATTAAACAGTAGTTATAATACATATATAGAGGTGGCATGTTGTGGTTCGGGTGACAAGACAATTTCAAATATGTAGACATTACTCTTAAAACTGATTGATATTTACGTTACCATCGTTACAAAATTGAATCAAACTTTTAACCGGACAATTTGAAACTCATTTCCTTAGAGCTACAATTTCATATTTTTAAGTTATATTTTTAAAATTTATTAAAATAAAGCCTTAAAATAGATGGTATTCATACACAGTCCTACCATGTTAAAGAATAATCCTATTAATCCTATAATTCACAATTGCCAGCTGAGAAATTGGCAAAAATATCATTTTCAACTTCAAATTCAAACGTTTGAACATAGCTATTCCATTGAGGGAATAGGAAAACAAGGGAGGTAATTGTGTTATTATTTCCTGTGTCAATGATTATTAAGGGTGAGAAATAATGCCCATGATCGTATAATAGTGAGTTGATAACCTATTGAGCAAAAGACATAAAAATAATTATGTTTTGACTTTCTTAGAAATACGAAATTCTCGCTTTAAAGCTTACCATAGCTTTAAATTATAAAACAGAAAATAATGTAGGGTTTACCGTCCTACGGTTCTGCTCCTACTGGCCTAATGAAAACAGACATACGACATACAGTGTGCTATGAGAGACATTTTGCCCGACAGGGCGCTGCTCTAATTTGAAATCCCACCTGCCAAGAAAACTTTTACGTGCACGCCGATGTGTCCATGGGCCCTCGTTATTTCGTCAAATCCGAACGACTATACACCCGTCACTGCTGACAAGGGGGAGCCCACGTCGGAAAATCCCGATGAACTTCCATGGCCCAGACAGGGATCGAAAATTTGACCTCCAGACTAGTGAGGCAAAGTCTTACACACTGAGCCACCACGGCTCCCCCTTTTAAGGTATATGTATTACTGTGTTGGTGACATTTTAAATGAATTTTATAGCATATAAAAAGGACGCAGATTTTAAAGTGAGAGCTGTCACGGCACCAAATATGTGTAGTTAGACAATAATATACTCCCAGAAGTTCAGTTGTTTAAGGGATTATGAAAATTATGAACATTATGAAAATTGGGTATGTCAAAAAAGAACACGCTAGACATTTCTACCCTGGCCATGAGTAACAAAATTTGAGATATAAAGTTTTTCTGCATGAAATATGTCAAAACATATTGGGGATTTTGTTATTGTTATTTTCAACAAAAGAAAGCATACAAAAAAATAAAGATATGATCATTATATGCTTATTGAACCATAAGAGAAAGTTCGAAATCAGTACAAGATCAGCATATAGTTATATAGAAATATATAACGACTAAATATGAACACCGTAGATTAGTCAGGTATATAGATCATATATAGATCATGCATTACAATAAAAGATTTTTTATTCACTCATATCTTTGACATATTCACGGATATACATTATAAGCCGCGACACCGATTAACGTATCGCTTCATTTCTTTGTCATTATTTTGGTATGAGTGATAAGGAACACAGTATTAGTATTTATTGGATAGTTTCTTTTCGGTGTGGCTTAGGAAGAAAATTGTGGAGGTATCACCCTTTACCTTGATCAGAAAATATAAATACCAGATTTACTGTTTTGTGTTTTCAAGAGAGTCCAGTATTAAAAGCTATATGGTTAAGTGAGAGTGAAATTGACAAAGTGTATTATCAAAAATGATTTGAGGCTTGATTAAGGTTTGTCATCTCCACGCACGTTGTCCGCGTTTTGGATTTAATGATACAGACCGTTTCCTCCAGAAAACATCAGTTCAGTGGTTGAAGTTTATCGTCGCGTGTTGGATTAGAGTACTGAATCTGAAGATATAGACCCCCTTTTCAAGAAGACACTAGTTGAAATTTTATCATCGCGTATTTTAACCCCATTTTGGCTTGGGATAAGTATAGTTAACGGGTGATACAGACCGTTTCGGCCAGAAAGTATCAATGGTTCTACAGTATTATTAGATAATATAATTTGTTGCTTGGTAAATTTTATGCCCATTTGTTTTCCAGTTATGTGAATATCTGATTTAAATAAGACGGTGTATCAAGTGTTCTATAAAAGTTAGCTTACCGTATCCCGTGAACAACTCCTGTGATTAACGATAGGTTTGAGTGAATCGCAGCAGCACCAGTAACAATCGCAGAAGCACCAGTAACACCTGTGACTAACGGTAATTTGGAAGGAATCGTAGCAGAACCAGTAACCTCTGTGACGAACGATAATTTGGAAGTAATCCTAGCAGCATCACTAACCTCTGTAAATAGCGATAGTTCGGAAGGAATGTGTAACGCTGTGATCTATAATTTTTTTTTAATTTGTGAGGAAACTAATGACCTTTATTGAGCAATCGAATAAGATTTTAACTGTTACACCCTACTGCTTGAACTCAACACAAGATGCCAGAAACTAGGAACCCAACCGTTATCCCATCCCACACGATGACAACATTACCCCCTATCTTCGGAAAATCGAAAATAAAGAAAGATTATAAAAAACCGCCCAAGATTCCGGTGGTCATGAACAAACGAACGGCGTACAAACCATATACCAAGATGTACGGTGACGACATGGTGGAGTTAAAACGCATGGAACAGGCAGAGTTGGGGGTTAAAACACGATCGAGGAACAAGATGGAGGATGAAAGGTGCTGGCGGAACGTTAACCTCAGTTACAGAGATCATCTCTATACCATGGGAAGCATAAGACAAGAACAGTCACTGGTTTATCAACTCATGTGCAAAGTTCAAAAGGACAAACGACGAATCCAGCGGCAGACGCACAGGAGACGTGAAAATGAATTTCAGGAAAAGATGCGGTGGCAACGCATTAAAAGCATGTGTCATTTTGTGGTATTAAAATTTCGGGAAAATGTTCAACGGAAAAGGGAACAAAGATTAAAACAAGAAGGGTTGAGTGCGAGTCAGATCGAAGCGTCTAAGCGCAGCAAAGTGAAAAGTTCCGCAAAACAGGATATTTATCAATCAAAAATAACAACACCAGTAAAAAACCGTCATGACGAAGAACCGCCTTCTCGTCTTGAGATGGTTTCAGAGGTGGGGGGCGAGGGCGAAGATTGTCATTCTTCTTTCAAAATCAAAGAAAACAATGGCCGTGATTCGACTTCAAATACTAACCCGAAAAATGTCTCAGTCAGTGATATTTCTTTTAAAACTAAATCCAAAACAGAAGCAGATATGGATTTAAAAAAGTCAGGCCAAAATGTTGTTCACTCGCAAAACTTTTGTACAATTAGTGACAAAATACAACCTGTGTGGGCTGATGAGGAGTTGCGTAATTTGACCAAGGATGATGACAATATTAATGTTAATGATGTTAACTTGAAAACGCCGACCTTTGATGAGCAGGTTCAGCATCAACATACCTCAAACAGTGATATACGGACAAGGATTATTCAGGTTAGAAAAGACAGACCCAGTAAGCCTTTAACACGAATAATTCATAACTCGCAGGAAAATCAAACCTCAGAACCACTACAAAAGGTGAGCGGTTTATTTATGTATTTTAAAAGACCCATTTCTTCTATTGATCCCCATCCTTGTTAATTTCTGGAAAATAAGAAATCGATGATTCTCTTTCGAACAGAACCTAAAGACAGTGAACACTAGCGAGACTGACAATGAAAGCATGTTGGAGGCCTACATGTGGAGGGACATGGCAAGTAACAAAATAGCCAAATAAACTGCAATTGCAGTGCAATAGTAAAAGATATCACACCAATTTCACATACCGGTAATGATTTAAAGCTTGCATTTACCAATTTCACATAATGATTTAAAGCTTGCGTTTACCAATTTCACATAATTATTTAAAGCATGCGTTTACTAAGATAGAATCTAAAACCTGACAACTTGCTGTTGAGTTACAGACTCATGGCAGTCATCGAAGAGTGTTAATTGTGAACAATCAGAATTTGTCATATTGCCAAAATACATATTTTTTCATTCATATTTGTTTCTTGATCGCCAATGTAATAAATGATTTTCGTGAAAAGTGGCTCTACCGCTCCTAAAATGGGAATTTTGACTGAGTAAAGGATGATTCGGGGACCCTTAGCTTTTTGCTAAATGTCCTAAGTGGTCCGCGAACGGAATAGGGTTAGGGGCCACTGCATACAAATCTGTACTGCATAAGGAAACTCCACTGCCTGGGCAAAATTAGAATGTATTTCATGTTTTTTTTTCAGAATCAGACAGCCATTCGGTCCACATCTGACATAACATCCCAAACTCAAGAAGCCGGGGTTCAGAGCGAACAAACAGATTGTTCTTCAGTCGTGTCTTCGGTAAAAGCTAGAGCCCCGCTTAATCCGGTGAAAGTTCGTAGACGAGGGACAACCCGACCACCAACAACTTATCTAACCTCCAATCTCGAACAATCGATGCAGTCAGAGAAAGCTCACCTAGAAAAGCAGGCCTCGAACTATAAAAACGAGGAAAAGTGTCAAGTTTCTAATCAAACACATAAAGAAGAGAAGGAAAGCTTGGTTGTGTTGATGAAGAAACGCGCCAGACATCGAGCTAAGAAAGATTTAGACGCGTTAAATAAAGAATCATTTGTGAAATATGAAAGGACCAAGAGTGGCCTTTTAAAGTCATATCCGGGAAAACGAGAAACATTTGTGCCTCCTTCATCAAAAAACCTGTATACTCGCCATAAACTACTTCGTCAGGAAAGAGAAGCAATTCTAATGCAGCGATTTAAGTTGGCCAAATTTTACGAAAGTGTCATGGAAATGAGAGGTAAGGTTATTGTTTAAAAAAACTTTAATACATGTTAATATTAGGTGCAGAGGAACCGCACTACGATTACACAATCAAACCCACGGACATGACACAACATATACAGACACCACAAACAACAAACGTACATATCATGAAGTGAAAAGACACGGTGGCCAGTCGTAATCATCCACTGCTTTGTATAGTTCCGGGCCTGTAGTTACAGACTTTGGCCGAGAAAGTTCATCCCGATTTTCCGGCGTGTTTTCCCCTTGTCAGTGATGCAGGACGGAGGGCCTGACAAGGACAGCTGTCTAGTCATTTGGATGAGACGAAAAACCGAGGTCCCGTGTACACATTGGCGTGCACGTAAAAGATCCCTTGACATTTGGAATTCGATATAAGAGTAGGCCGTAGTGCCGCTGTCCGGGCAAAATTTCCCTCATAGCACACTGTATGGCGTATGCCCGTTTTCATTAGCCCAGTTCGGAGCAAAACAGTAGGACGTTAAACCCCATTTCTTTCATTTCATTTCAGCTACAGACTTAAATCAAAATGAACCCCGACTGCTTGGCCCCCTTCTTCTCTCTGGATCGCAGTCGTTTATAAAATGGAAAATGTTATTTTGAAGGAGATTTCCATCTTATGACTTTCGTAGAAGTTTGAGGTTTCATGTAGTATATATCTTGGCATTTAACTACAACACTGGCTATCTAAACAGTACATGGATGAACCAGATTTATATTCACGAAAAGAGGGAGAGAGAGAGAGAGAGAGAGAGAGAGAGAGAGAGAGAAGGGGGGGGGGTGCGGGTAAAGTCCACACAAACTAGATCATTTTGGGGCTCGGCCCTATTTCAACAATTTGTGGGAGGAAACAAGAGGGTCCGGATGGAACCCACGAGGTTGGACAAGCTACCCTACTCCTTGTCATGTACAAGCGGGGTATCGACACCACGGCACTTGACTCAGTGAGCACGGTAATAGACAAAATCGTTGATTTATTCTAGTATTGATATAAGCGTTAGTTGACCTATGACCTCTGTTAGTTAACCTATGGCCTTTATAGACTTGAGTTATGACCTGTCTTTAAGTGCGATAAAACATCCAGAAATGGGGATGGGTTGGGTCACTTTAAAAGGGACGATTAGGGATTTTCTATCTGTTATTGTAATGGGCATGTTTTTATTTCAGAAAGAACTGTTGTTCATGAAAAACCTACCGAAAAATTAGAATCTAAAGATAAAGAGCTACCAGCATTAAAAGCCAACCCTTCACAGATGACCAACAGCATCTTTAATGTGACTCAGCCGGAACAGGTTCGATTAGATGATGATAATACGAGTCGATATGTGAGAGTTTATGATCGCGATTTAAAGGAGGACGTCGATTATAATTTGAGTAACCGAAGAATGTCCAGTTGGAAAACGTAATTGGAAATAAATTTCCCAAACAAAACACAAACTGACACAGATGTTGTTAAACCTAATGAGATCAGGGGCTAACTAGGTCTGACAGCCCAGAGGGATCAGGGACCCATGCGCCCAAATTGGAATTATTTTGTACTTGACCTCGGAAGCTTTATACATGCAATCGTACAGACGATTGTTATGACCAACACTTAGATCAAGCAAAGGGTGATAATATTAGTAACAACTAGTGGACTTCATAATTCTAAATACGGCGTTGAGAGACTATCAGTGTCCTTTGCGTAATACTTGACACAAGTTGATGGATTACAATTTATTTAGATTCCATATAGTTTGTCATTCTTTTCAGTAAATAAATGCCACTTAAACAATTCATCCTTTAGCCTTGGTGAATATGGAGTTGAACTACCCATAAAGATACATTTAATTCATACCGAATTGAACATTTATTCATAGCATTTGCTGCATACATGCATATTTTAAATTTTCAATCATAAACAAATTTCACATAAAATTGCTTTGATTAATTTAATCTTCGTTAGAATCCAAGTTAAGTCGATTCAAAGTTAAATTTCTTACATGAACGTCACCGATATATTTACGGCGTATAAACTCAGGAGTTATCGTTCTTTGTGGTAGTATCTTGTTTTTCGTGTCGCGAAAATCAGCACGTATTTTATAGGAATAATAATCTAACTGTCGCTCCTGATCGTCACTAACAACAAGGGGTTCTAGAGATTCACAGAACTGCCTGATTCTAGGTTTAAAATCCACAGTTTTATTCGCTTCCAACAGTTTTTCTACTTTGCTTAATTTTAAACCCCTGTTAAACATCGAATGCTTTCTCTGTAATATGTGGTTGTTATCTGTGTCCTTCGTCGGAATTTCTAACGAATTTGTTTTGGATCCTTCTGTATCTGATTGTGCAGTGGATGTCGAGTCATTATAATCGTAGAGGCGAACATGTTGCTGTTCAAAGTTCTTAACATCTTCCCTTCCAGGGTTTTCCGCCGCCGACATCTTTGTTCCGTGGTTAGCACTCTGTGCCCTATCTCCAATTTGATACCCATCATCACCGTTCGCCATCAAGCAAAAATAGTTTTCAAATTTCTCGTCCGTGGATGAGCCTGGTACTTCCGGCAGTACATTAAATTCCTTGTCAACATCAGTCCCGATAGCTGTGATAGGTCGGAGAGATGTGTGGATTCTGTTTTGTGCTCTCACTCGTGGAGCACTTGATCTTCTATATTGATGCTGACGGCTGCCCTGTGAGTAGGGTTGTTCTCTCCAAACAGTTTCAATAACATCTTCTTCTTCATCCCTCTCACTCGATGATGCCCATGATGATGCATTAACCAAACGAGGGTCCTTCAGAAACGGGACTTTCTTGAGCCTTTTAAAGAAATTTGCCTCAGCTTCGGAATCAGATAAGTTTGTGTTGAGATAATTTGTTCTTTGGGCTCGAAGACATCTTTCCATATTTTTATCCTCCCACATTCGAGCATAAAATAATTTAGATTGGTAAATTTTTGCTTGGAAACCACGGAAAAGTCGTTTTTGGTTACTGGTGATAGTACTGATGGTGGTTGTCTTTGATCGCTCGAGAAGACGTATCGTTTGTTTGAGACGAAGTTTGTCGTGCTCGGTATTTTGTTTGATAGTTTGTGATGTTTCGGCACATTCTTTAATGCGATATCTTCCTTTCATGATGCGACAGAAAATCTAAGAAAGTATGTGGTTGATTCTAAGTTGTGGTCTTACCTTGAGCATATAGTAGACTGCATCGGATATCAATGTCTGCCAGATTGAAAACATATCTTTTATGCGCCTAATAGTTGTCAGTCTTATTTATTTGCGTTTTAAATCGATTTTGGATCAACAGTCTCGCGTCAGATTAATTATGCATATCCAGCCATGCTTCAAAAATCATTTAAACATTATGAATAATTAACAATGGGTTCAAATGTCCCCTTCGTTCTTACGTACTGTTAGATTGTACGGTGTAGGACCACAAGTTAAATTAATTATGAATATCTGGAATGCTTTAAAATCCCTTAAAACATTAAGAATAATTAACATGCCGTTTGTTATATACTCCAACAGTGGCGTGTAAATGTTAAATCGATTCCATGAAGCTTCTACAATGAAACACAGCGCATATAATACAGCACAACGAACGTTTCGGGAATAAATCACTTTCTAAGATGCATTTTGTGTATATCGATTCCAGGCATAGACACACGTTGTCTTGAATAAGTGCTGGAACTTTATTTTACAGTTCTGTCAAAACATCATCTGTCAAAGAACATAGTTTAAAACGCATGTTCAACTTCAAACAACAGTCAATTGGACGCACTCTTAACATCTCAAAAAACAGCTACAACAGAATGGCAATTTTCATTACTTATTCTAGATCCTTCACGTAGGAATAGCTTAAATTTAATGTAATTTAAGACCAGCCTACGATATAGCTGACCTGACCTTCATCGTAAAATGGATATAATAAGGGCTATCTCAATGACCGTAAAATTGACTTCAAGTGTTAATAAATCACACCTAATACAGGTTAAAGGGTTGGGAGAATTTAATTTCGTCCACAAGCAACCCTTACCCAGAGTTATTTACTGATCGTGACAACGTTTTACCTCTAGCTTTGTTGGAGCACCAGTAGTAAGTTCTCAATTTTTCTTGTGATCATGAGAACGTTCCTTACACTACACATATTTGTATAGATTTACACAGATTTAAAAATGTATTCTTACAATACAGTTTAAATGGTCACAGATGTCCCTAAATATCTCCTGCCACAACTCTAGTTAAAGAGAAGCACAATAAATAACCGAACTTTCTCTGCTCTATCAGTAGAATCTTAATACGGATGTATTATGTAAGAGTTAAATCTACCGATTGTATGTCTTTTTTTCTGTCTTCAAATGTTATATAAATAATTAAGCAGAAATTTATATACATGGCAAGCATAAAACCAATCCCCTATACCATCAGATGTTTTTGATTTGGAACGGATTGAAACACGATTGCCATTTAATAATTTAAATTAGAAGTGGATAACCGAGAATTTATTATCGTAACTCTGGAAGCAATGAAAATCGAGACTACGCTATTCTTCAAACAGCCACAACTTCGCCCAAAATGAAATAATTTGAAATTTTCAATATATTCTTTTTTCATTATCTATTTTTAAACTATCATAGCCAGAACGGTCAACTTTGTATCTTAATCATACTGTATCTTGAACACGCACAAATCTAATTAATTTATTACTAAATTTTGTTGCAAGTATAAATGTTCAAAGATGTCTATGCGTTTCTATTTAAATTGATCAAACCCATTCCAGTATGGCTGATCTACCAATGGCATTAAGACTTCTGATATAGCCTATCGTTAAAGAAACTAAATCCATTAAGCCGCTCAACTAGATTAAGAAGTCAACAATGTGCAAAGAATCTGAATTCGACGCTATAATTCACCCACGTAACAAGAACATATACGCAAATTATCTACAAATTTTAAATAAAATGAGTTTAGGTGAATTCGAAAATCCCCCATTTTACAGCCTTCGAAATAACCTTACGCGAAAGGTGATATCACAGACCACGTGACGAAATTTGTCTAAGTCCGTTTAATAAGAAGGCGTGAAGATAAGGTTTGATGTATTATATCTGTGAATGTTTTATCTCACTTATAGAAAGGCCATAATTCAAATCTATATAGGTCATAGGTCAACTAACACTTATATCGATACTACAGTTTTTCAACGATTCTGTCCGTTCTTATTGAGTCAAGTGATGGTGTTTCGATTCCCAGCTTGTATGTGACAAGAAGTAGAGTCGCCTGTCCAACCCCATGGGTTTTCTCCGGGTCCCCCTTTTTTTTTACCATAGCTAAAGACCCTTGCGAGCAAGCGAATTACTGTAAAAGGGTTGAATCATATGTTAGTCCCAAAATGACCTAGTTTGTATCGAGTGGACTTTAAACCGAAGGAATTTGCCTCCCCCTTCGACTCTCTAACCGTATGGTTGGGCTGCGAAACCACGTCGGTGGAAGCGGACATTAAGGCTAAGTGCAACTACCCCAAGTTTTTTTTTTGCTGGACGATCAATATATCAACATTGAAGGTATAAAATCCGATATTCCCCTCTTAATCAGTCATATATCATTGAATGTAAATACCTTTCACACTTTTTGTGTTCGTCGTCCTCATTTCGAAATCTGTGATAACACCCGTGGATTATATATGGCTCAATGTATATTGTGTGTGATATATAATAATATCAATCGATCATAAATCTACTAAAGTCAACACTATAACATTCCTCAACAGCTATACTTATAGATTTAACCATGGGCATACCCATATTCCCCAAGCAATGGTTACGAAGGGCTAAATCTCTAACCCAATATTTTCCATAACATTCCAAAGACACGTATTTGTGTTCAATATTGGTATATATTAGTCAATATTGATCTAGCCGTGGAAATATGAGATCCTAATATCCAATATTGAAGACACGCTGAACATTTTATGATCAGAACGGTAGCCTACACGAATCGTGTATTTATGGTTACGGGCACTATTTGTAATAAACAAAAAAGAAAAAAACCGAAAAAAAAACACCCAACAACATATCCCGCAAGACAACGAGGAAGTAATCAAACTATTATAGCATTTTATTTTCGGGTGTATAGCTTAAAGGACAATATTGGTGTCAGTCATTATTACATATGTGATAGAACTGGTTAAATACATTCCAAATATAATTTCAACACAGAGATCATTGCTATGGTACTAGTAGATGTGTAACAAGCACGTGAAGAAACGGGAAGTGACGCGAAACATGACAAACACGAGTTATCCTTCTATATAACTGAATGAAGTAACGAGCGATAACAAACAAACGATCGAATTTCATTTCACTGATAATTCCGTTGAAGATGAAAAGTTATTATATGGGACGGTGAGAGGGTTTCTCACAATTCAAAAATAGAATTGGCTGTCACTAGATAAGGGAAAACTAGAAAAATACAAAAATCCCGTGCATTCCCCCGTTTTTTATTCATTCTGTTCTTAATAAAAACATGGTAATGAACGGACTTTTTCTAATTTGTTCGTTATCTTTTATCTACTGACGGCCAATTCTTTTTTTGAATTGTCAGATATCCTCTCACCGTCTCATATAATAACTTTTCATCTTCAACTGAATTATCAGTCAAATGAAATTCGATCGCGTGTCTGTTATCGCTCGTTACTTCAATTAGTTATATCGAAGGATAACTGGTGTTTGTCATGTTTGTCGTCACTTCCCGTATCTTCACGTGCTTGTTACACATCTCCCGTAGCAATGATCTCTGTGTTAAAATTATATTTGGGATGTATTTAACCAGTTCTATCACATATTATATAATGACTGACACCAATATTGTCCTTTAATATTTTTAAACACACAGCAGCTGATTGAAGTAGGCAAAGGTTGTGCAAACCTCAGTGCCGGACTGGGACCACCTGTCCATGTCATTAAAAAAAGTGGGCCTAAGCCTATAAAGAAAAAAGAAAAGAGAACTAATTTTGTATCAGGAAATCAAAAATTTGCCTTCTGCTTTGGTCTGAAATGCTTGGAAAATGGGTTTTCGGTTGTCAATTTTCAAAATTTTCCTGCGGGGAGACCCCCCCCCCCAGATCCCCCTCGGACGCTCCCAGATCCCCCTCGGACGCTATCGGCGCGCTCGTGACGCGCCTTCGGCGCATACTTGTGTGGGCCTTGGTCAATGACCTGACAGGTGGGTCTTCGGCCCACCAGTCCGGCACTGGCAAACCTTACAGGGAGTAGCGACCATGCCTTGCCGAGCTACTGTGATTATTGTATGAATCTCTCTGACTAGTCCTACTGATATTCAAAGAAGTTGTTTTTCCATCAAACAGGTGCAAGGGCGCGGGATGGTGATGACTAGTCATTTTTTTTTTTACTTTTTCCTATTAACTAATCTATGTCGTTGGCAGATGACCTGGGTTTACTCCGGGTACTCCGGTTTTCTCCCACAGGAAAGATCCCTGCGCGTGCGCTAAGGTAATAAAAATAAGACATCACCACATGTTTGGCGCAATACAGCCCGGTTATTGTTGACGTGCCATTAAACAATATTTCATTCATTCATTCATTTTAGTACTTTTCTAATACATACAAACGCGGAGTTTCAATAATGGGATTTCACAGTGTAGTTTCCCCGTAACATTGGTGGAGGACGACGGACCTGGTATGTAACATTGTCTAGTCATTCGACTGGAACGGCCAACCTTAAGGGAACCCTTCACGCTCCCAAGGCAACATTTTCTCCACGTCACACTGCATAAGCAAGGTATCAATAATTGATAATGATAAACCTCTGATTAAAACCACACAATTTTACAATGCAACTCCCTTTACTATATTCCAAGAGTTTCATTCAGGTTCAATATCAGATTATTACGTGTAATAATATTGTCACCAGGTCTCTGTCAAAATTGTTAAGATATTATTTAAAACTCATCGAAAAGTAAATGCATCTTCAGCTTCTTAATCGACCCTTTGGGTAACAAAGTGTTTTGTTAGCAACCATGATCCGTCGTCAATAAATCAGGTGTCCGTCGAGATTGTACTTCCTTACATCCCTTGTCATAATCGCCTTCTTGGAAAGCAACGGCTCGGCTTAATCAGGTTGGGTTTATTATGCAAACATTTCTGGATTGAGTAGCC